GGCAGCACCAGCGAGGGGTCGACACCACCGGCCGCCGTGTACAGCTGGCTCTTGCCCTCCACCAGGCCCAGACCGTTGGCGCCCAGGTCGCCTGCGCGAGGCGTTGTGGGAGGCAGGACAGGTGGATCAAGACAGACGGGGGCGCGTGGTCCTGTGCAGCTCGATGGGACAGCACGATGCAGTGCGTGCAAGAGCGCTGCAGTGAGCGGTGGTACGCAACACCGCGACAGTACATTTGGATGTTCAGGGACCAGCAACGGGGTGATGCCTTGCCACTCAAAGCGCCTGTATGCCCACATCAGCCTAGAGTTGGAGCACTGCATTACAAGGGCGAAGCAGGGCGCCCCGTCGGCCCCTCCAGGCACGCACCCAGCCCTAGTATACGGCCGCCATCAGTCATGACGACCGCGCGTGCCCCCTGCACGCCGAAGGTGCGCAGCATCTCCAGCATTGCGGGCCGGTCGTCCTCCAGTGTGAGGTAGAGGCCACGCGGCGTGACCCCTAGGCGGTGGTATGCCTGGCACGCCTCCCCCACCGTTGGCGTGTATACGTAGGGCAGTACCTCCGAGGTGTGGGCCATCAGCAGCCGGTAGTAACGGCCGGGATCCTGCAGGGTTTTCAAGGTGGAGTAAGGAAGGGGGTGTCGCAGGACACCTTGAGAGAACTCTGTGGGGGCGGAGAGGTTGCGGGCAGGAGCTGGACAAGGGTTCGAGCGCATGCACGCCAGCAGGTCGGCGGCGCGCGTTTTGACGCGACCGCGGAACACGCTGCCACGCACAGCAACAAGCACAACACACCAAGGTGGGAAAGGGCCGTAATGTATTTGCCTGAGACAGGCCCCTGTGCAAGTGGTACATTGAACATCAGCAACACCAGGCCGAGGCCCCTCTTTCTGCATTTGAGCAGCTGGGCATGGCCCACCTCAGCCAGCATGCGCCGCAGGTAACAGTACCGCTGCAGGGCCTCTTTCTTAGCGAGCATCTCCTCCAAAGCCACATCTTCTGCTGTCTGTTGGGGTTCTGTGGGTGCCACATGTCGATCTGAGCTGAGCATGAGGGTGGCAAGTCCAACACACACAATGGGAGACGAAGCTGGTGCTCACTGCCCGGCAGCCGTCACAGTCGTATCCAGCTGCGCTGCTGACGGTTGGATCTCTCCCTGCAATCATGCCGAATCGTAATAAGACATAGCATGTCTTACCAACTCGCGGCCTGTCCAGTGTTGCGAGCGTGGCAGACATCTCGGGGGAATGAGAATACCAGATCCCTTGCGTTACCACGCTGTGTGTATATTGATTCAGATCGGATAGTATGCTCCATTAGACAATCCAGTTTGTTCACACGCTTCATGTAGTGCGCTCACGTTCATCGAGCACCATTGCAGGTGCGTGTGTCATCGCTCAGCATGCCCGTCACAGCGGCCCAAATCATCACTCATCACAAGCACATGGGAGGCGCGCCTCGTCAGAGACGATCAAGCACATGAAAACACTAGTGGTCAGCAATCTCAATACTGCAAACTCTGACGTCCAGTGGGCTGGTCGCCAGGCTTGTTGCAATGATGCTGTTGTGACTGGCACACCAGCCAAGCCCCACCCAGCTGAAAGCACAATGCACCGATACATGGACGTGCTCGGCCGGAAAGAAAACCTGTTCGGCTTCAAGATCGTCGTTACACAATGTGTGCATTTCCTGCCAGCTGAAACCTCTTGAAGCTTGGTGGAAAGCTACGGCCGACAGCGCACCTCGGCCCACGACTCCATCTATGCTGAGTGGCCCAACAATCAACACAGACTGCGCAAAACCAGCGTTGCGCTAGATAGCGCAGAAACATATCCCGGCATGGTACAACCGCAGAAAGATCCCAGGATGGCTAACGGGAGGCACGCCTTCATCCCCCTGAAGAAACCCGACTCAAAACGAAAGATCCCGGCGTCCCAACAGTCAAGACCAGGGCTGGCTGAGATCGCAGGTACACAAGTGTGTGCGTGTTGGATGAGGTGTGAGAGGAGGGGGCCGCAACAAGATTGCAGTGCCAGCCCTGAGTGCCTGTGTGAGTCCTGATGCATCACATCCCAGTGCTTACACAGCCTCCACGTCACTAAGCCATCCTCCATAAGTGGACTGCCACAAGCGAAGCTGGCGTAGCCTAACATCGTGGCTACTTGCGCAACTTTTGCAAGAGAAAACCATGGGTAAGCAGATTGTGCGGCAACTGCACTGGCCGTTGTTGCATGTTTCATGAGACATGGGCCATGTCCGTACGCCACGTAGCAAGATCAGAGCCAGATGTCGGAGGAGCAGTCGCCACCTGGTGGGACAGTACAGTGGACGATACAGAGGGGTGCCAAAGTTCAGTTGTCTGTACAGCAAACTGCGTTACCTGGGCTGGCCAAAAGACCGGATCGCTACTATGGTCGCGATCCCAGGCTGTCAGCCGTGAGGCCGGATCAGAAACAGCCGTTCCAGCCGCATTCTGACTGGGCCACCACGCCCACTCCCGCTCTTCCATGTACCCCCCGACTGTGTCTTAGCTGTCCTGCTCACCTGGGTACCTGGGGAGCACAGGAGGGAGGGGGTGTGGACGGGTGGCCAGAGGGGTTGGAGAGTGTTTATTCGCCAGTTGACATGTGGCAGGTGTCGAGCTGCATTGATGGAGTTGTGGCGCGTGGCTTGCACACCCAGAGCTGGCATGCGTGTCGCGTGCCGCCTCACCTGGCCTCGTGTGCCAGCACCGGGCCATCGGGCTCCGCCCCGTAGTCCACGATGAAGTCCCTGATCAGGGGCGACACAGGGGGAGGGCGCTTGGGTGAACTTGGGCTGACATTGCTGCCCCGTCCAACCCGTCCGACTCGGGCAGGCTGCCCTGATGGCGTGAATGCCTGCCCTCCGCGGCATTGTTGACAGACGCGATCACATTGGCCTCAGGAGCCCATGAACTGCAGTTCTGCGCTGCCACCTCCAATATCAACGCCAGGGTTGCGCCCCTCTCACTTGTTGATCTCCAGGCTGCCGTCTTCCGCCACGTCCACGCGCACCAGCTGGCTGCCCTTGGCCACCAGGTCCGGGTAGAACTGGCGGTCCCAGGGTGACAGGAGGGAGTTGGTGACGTACAGCCGCTTGCCGTCCAGGCTTAGCTGGATCATCTGGGGGCCCCCCTGGGGGGGGGGGCGGGGTGGAGC